AGAAACACAATTTAGTTTTCACTCTTGTAGAAAAACTGAGGCTATGACCCCAGCCCACACTGAACTTTTGAAAATGAGAAACCAGGTGATGAATAAACCCCTCATCTGAAGGAGGGGGAAGGAGGCCATGGAGAAACTGAGTCATTAGTTTTGAGCAATCCTGAACTCACTGCTAAAATCTCTCAACTCCACTTATATAAGAGCTGTTGCCAACAACAGCTGTGGGAGCTCAGACCTGGGGCGGGAGAGCCGACTCCATGGGCAAGTTAAAACTGTTTCAGGGCTAAAACCTTCACACTGACATGTTACCTGTGGGAGCCCACGCAGAAAAGGCTTTGTCTTTGTCTGACCGAAGCTCACTTCAAGCTTCCTTCTTGAGGTGAAAGGGTCTGGGGATGTTCCTCGGCATTTCTGCCCAGCAGCCTTTTGGCAACTCCCACCATCCCTGAGACCTGTGGTCCCCAAGTCTCCTTGATCAAACCACTGTCATGGAGTGAAAGGCAACTGCCTGTGCCAGTGTGGACGGGGCAGAGATGAAAGGATGACTCTTGCCTTCATTAGTTGCCTGCAAGTGGCTTGAGGCCCTTCTAAAACATACAGCACCCTCTTGCTCACAACTTAAGAGTTGTGACCCCATTTCTTAGAGGACATCCTCCTGTCCATTCTCTTTTCTAGCTCCTAATACAAGGCATGAGAGGGGAGACAGCCTGGCCTTCTCCCACAGCTTCCAGTCATATATAGGGATGTCACTGGGACACTGGTTGTACCGAAGTCCCCACCAAGACCAGGAGACGCCCAGGTAGCCGAACACCAACACTGCTCCCTTTCTTCCACCCTTTTTGACCTCCTACTCTTCCTTCAGGCTTGGCTGCATCAGCAGGACACTTCCAGACGATGGCAACCCGAGGGGTGATGCCAAGCCCTGTGACCAGGGGAAGGCAGGATGGGCTGCAGGAGGCAAAAGGTGACAGGCTTGTGCAAGGCCTGATGCGTGAGCCCAGAAATGCTGCTGGACAAGCCCGACACACAGCAACTATACAGCACCTAAATGCCCTCCCCAGGCTTCCTCTTCTTTCTTCACCCCCGTGTCTCCTGAGGGCTGCATGCCCTCCTTTGTGGGTTTTGAGACAGGGAGGCAAGGGACCACACTGTAGTGACTGTACATAAAGAACAGAAAGAGATGGAAAAATACTTAAACCCCGTGCCCTCTGCTCTCACAGTTTTATCACCCATCTCTTGGTGTTTGGCATTTTCCTCCAATGCTCCAATGCCTGGCTTCACATCAATTCACAGACCCCAGCTTTCATCTAATAAAATTATAATTACGTGACATTCCAGGTCCTATTGATGTGGAGAAGTGCAAGTCAGGATCCAAAATATTCATAATACAGATGTTAAAATAAAAGAAAAAATAAAAAGAAAGAAAGGACTTTGACATTTATCACTTTGGAAAGCTCTTGGTTCCTGAGTGAGCTGCAATTTTCAGACAACCTGACTCATCATTTCTGAATGCTTTGGTTTGGCAGCCCTGTATATATTTAGTAATACAAACCCTGACTTGCAGCTTCCAATGAGAATCCTAATGGCATGATAAGACAGATTTTCATCTCATTCACGTCATTTCCAAATATCAGGACATTTACTTAGCAGGAAGAGTTGTAAATGCTGTGAAATGGTCTCCCTGGGGAGAAGCAGAGACCTTCTGCCTACACGCTTGAGCAGCTGAGCAAACCAAGGGAGAGCAGGCAGCACTGAGCAGCTCTTTACTTTCTGGCCAAAGGACAGAGCAGATGATCCCAGACACGTTTTCCTCTTCATTGCTCCTGGCTCTGGGCATTGCTAATCGAGTCCTCATACCAGGGCCACTGGAGCCTCTCTAAAATCCATCTGGAGAAAGAGCAGCTTCTGCAGGAGGAGCACGCAGCTCCAAGCGAAAATACTGCTGCAAACCATATAGGACTTCACAAGGAGTGAGAAACCTGTGCCAGTCCTTGAGAATGCATTCAAAGCATCCTCAGCCAGCAGTCAGAATCGCATTTTTTACTTTAAAAACCCTTAGGCACTTGGAGTCTGTGAGATTTTTTTTTTTTCCATTGCCTATCAAGCAGCGGTATTAAAAATGATGTCTTTGGCAGCACAGCCAGCCTGAGTAGATGTGGGATGATTTTCATCTATTCATTACAGACCATCTGCTTCTTACCATCAACTTTCAAAGGCCTTGAAGGAGACGTAGGCCACTGAATTTTATAGCTAAATTTCACATACCTCTTTGAAAATGAAAGGATTGCACAGAACACAAATTTCAGACATCAAAGGGATCTTCTCTTTTCATGCAGGCACTAAAAGCAGTGCAAAGGGAACTAATTACAATTTACTCAATTGCCAGATTTCACACTGGAGCAAATACAAGCATTTTATGCTTTAAACCTTACAAAGCCATGGCTGCCAGCTTAATATACTTCTAAAGCCAGGACCAAATTAATAGACTAAAACCATCTTGCATCCACCGAGGCAAGCAACAAAGACAAACAGTTGGCAGGGTAGCTAAAGGAAAACTGCATCGTTTTTGTTGTATTCCTGCTTTTTTCTCCTGTTTTTTGTTTGCTTGTTTTTTGGTTTTTGTTTGGGTTTTTTGTTTTGTTTTGTTTCACTTTTGTAATAAATCAGTATTTCTTTACATATTAAATGGCAACGCAAACACTAATTCAACTTTTTCAAAAGTAGAGCTATTGCATAGATACTTTTTATTGAGCTGATCTTCATCCCTGCTGCTGACAGAGTCTGAGGAAACACGACTGAAATGGCAGCTCCTCATAAAAAGTATGAGAGAGTTCAGGGATCTTGGCCAAATGTGGCTGACTCAGGATCTGCTGACTCGAGTAGCTCAAATCATTACACAGACATGTGAGTTCCAGGCGGGCAATGGAGGGGAAGAGATGCCCTAAATTATAAAGGAAGATCCAGGGGAAATTGTGAAAACCAAGAAAACTCCTCTATAGCAGAACCTTCAGCTTCTAAGCCCATCCACAGATCTGTCCGTTAGATTGCAGTGAGAGTGATGGTAGGGTGGAGTGGCCCGGACACCACTTGAAATCTATGAAAAGTAAAGCTGGGGAAGAAACTCCCTTTGGCATTTGATCTCCACTGAGCCAAGCCCCGGGCCAAAGCAGGTCCTGGCTGGCAAGACCAGGAGCTTTTCCCGCTCCCCAGGGTTGTCTTCAACACCATTTTATATCCTCCAGACATCTACAAACTTTCTGATTTACAGTTCTCAACAATCCCAACAGAGCACCTACAGAGGTGACTTAGTTTCCACTCCCCAAGCTTTTAGGACACAGACTGGTGGGTACTGATGTGACATGACATAACACAAAATTCCCACACCAGTAAGGGTCTCCAAAGGTGACTACTGCACATTCTTCAGTGGTGTAAATACTCAGATTCTGGGGCCATGGAGATGGGATCACATTTTGATGCTGAAGGCAACATTACCTTCTCCAGCAGGACATGATTCCATTGAGGTCTCCAGAGCCCCAAGGAACAATACAACCAACGAAACCCTGGGGTGATACCATTGTGCTGGCAGAAAAAGGTGCACCACTTACTGTTCTCCAGCACTGATCTCCAGGGAAAGATGGGTTGTTTATAACCCTTGATAGTGGGAGAGTCAAAAAGCCATCAACACAAAATTCACAGACAGTTTTGGGGCTCCCACTCTCAGCGTCCAGCTTTGCTGCACTTACCCCTTGCCAAGCAAGCGCTGCTGCAGTCCTAACACTGGGAAAACAAGTGGGAAACCGAGTTGCCCGAGGTCATGTCTGCACCAGGTGGGCGAACACCATGTGTAATTCATATGTGAATTAAGATGCCACAAGTGGCCCTCTCATGCAAATGCATCCATCCCTGTACTGTTTCTTCCTAGATGGGAAAACAATTCAAGCTGGCCTGCACGACTGGTTTTCAGGCTATTTTTTCTGGATATTTGCTCTTCTTTCTCCTGCTTACGTGACACAACATGTTTTTCCTCCTCTCTTGACCCACTTTGAAGGAGCTGGGTATCTACAGACCAGCAAAGGGATGGGCTGCAATGTGGCCACAAGATGCCCATGGAAGGGAAGGGAGTCCAGAGGATGAAGCTTAGAGGAGGAGATGCAGGAAAGAAAGAGGAGAAGCAGGAAGGAAAGAGGAAGAACTGGGGTAACACACAAGAGCACAAAGGCATGAAGAGTCCAAGGGTAACTGACTCTGTGTCCCACCTGTCAGACAGTTGAGTGATGCTTTAGGGGTAGAAGTAAAATGGACTTAGGTACAGAGCACTGGAGTGGGAAGGGGTAACACCTGCATGTAGATCTCAGCTTTGATTTCTTATTTCCAACTTGGTTCCAGGGGAGTCTGTGCTGTAATGGGGGTTAATTTCCTTGTCAAAGGCTTCTGCTCCCCTGCAACACCTCCACAGCTGCAGTGGTGCCAGGTCTGTGCAGAACTGCCTCTCTCTGCAGCACCTCACCCTTTTCTAAAGTTATAGTTCATGAGCCCTATACAAACATCATTAGTTTTGCAAGAGGTTAGAAATCCTTTTCCTTCTCCAGCAATTCATACTGCCCAAGGAAGAGGCTATAAACCTGTCATACAGCTTCAAGCCCATCAGGGAGTGCAAAGGTGTGCCAAGGAGCTACAGAAAAGTCACTCAGCTTCCATGAGAGCAGGGAAAGCGTAGATCTGTTTCCCAGAGCATCTGGTTTCAACAACCTGCACTGAAAAAAATCATCTCAGTCTGCCTGTGCTTGAGGCCACAACCGATAAGAAGTGCCCTGTGAGTAACAAGCCCTTAAATCCAATCCAAACCAAGTCACCCTGTATCTTAGATAAGGTTTATCGTTCTCAACGGAGAAAAGTCGTGCTTTTGTGTTACCTGTTGGTTGAAAACTCTGCTTTCAAGCAGTTTCCCAGCTCTGCGGCTCCCATCGCAATAATGCTACAAATAATTTAAGTGCTACCACTTCGGATCAAAATTTTAATGAGGCACTAAACCCACAAAAGGGGCTCTGTATAGCATAATTAAATAGAATGGGCCTAAATAAACAGCAAGGTTTTACAAGTTATATTATAGTTGAAAACAGCTGGGAGGCAAAGAAAGGAGCATTGAAGATGCATGATGTAAAAAGGCATTTCACAGAATGCAAACACTAAAACTTTTCATATCGCACAAACAGTAAAACACTACGAGCACATGACTTCCCTTTGATTTGGAAGAATCTGTGTGGGGCACAGGGCATTTGTTTTTTTCCTTCTGCAAGTCAGCACGATGAAATATTTCACATGGGAACCCAAACAGTGGCAAAGAGAGCCATTTGTCCTTCGGAAAGAAATAAATACTGCAGAAACAGGTAAAGTCAGTAGGAACATCTGGTTCAGTCAGGCCATGGGATGTTGGATCACGTCTCCAAAACGCTGGACAGTGCTGGGACTCCTCAAAATAGTCTTGCAAACAATCAGAATTGTAGCAAGTCTATTTGGCTCAGAGCTGCAAGACACTTGTTTCATGCTCATGCCGACTCCTTGAATCCACGGCAAGGAGTGACATTCAGGCTGAGCCAACCAGCTCAGCATTCAATGCTCTGTCTGCATCAGCTATTTACACTATCATGTTTATTCCACCCCTGTCAATATTTGATCCAAGAGCTGCATTAAGTCCTACAAACAGGAAGGTTTCAATTTCACATTAAGGTAACATTGACAGTGGTGCTGCTGTATCGTGTAAGTCAGTGCACTTTTACTCCTTGAGAATGAAATTACTGGTAAACTTGGCTTTCTTTTCATTTCCCCCCAGTCCTCTCAGCAACCCTTCTCCAGAGCCATAGCTATTGCTGCAGTTCCGGGCTGGTGAATGAAAAGTTTCTAAATTCATCTTGGTTTATCATTGGAAGAATCCCTTCTTCAATGGGAGTCAGGATGGGCTCTTCTTTTATAAAATCTGGATCAAAGTTGCTCACGTCATCTTTGGATTTCTGCCAAATGGAAAAGACAAAGGAAAGAGATGTCAAAAGTATGTATCATCTGCTTGATCCTCACTCTGCACCTTTACTCCTGAGTGCACTGAACCATCACCTACATAACGGAGGCTGAGCTGACTGAGAGCTTTTTCTGGGGCTGGACTGGGAGCAGTGCAAAGCCTTTTCGAGCCTCTGCAGGTTTCTGACCAGGAACCCACTCTCAGATTTAACTGACAGAGCCTCTGGGGTGTTCCCTGCCCAGACACGGCAAGGCAGGGCACATAAATCAGTCCCTTCCCTCAAATGGCAGCACAGACCCAGACATTCGAAGCAGTTATCAGCTGTGTTATGACTCCACACGGTCCTTCCTTATCTGCAGAGCATCTCAGCTGGGTTTTGGGGAGGGGGTGGGAGGACGCTCCTCCATGTACCAGCCATTAAACTTGCACAATGATGAATTACTGGGCCGTGGGAAGACAAATGGCTCGCCTCCAGGTGCTGGATTCCTTCCTGTGTGCCGCAAAGTGGGGCTGTTTAGAATGCACACACACAAACTGGGTTTGTGGCACGTTTTCACGAGGCATGTGTTTTTCCTGCATCCAGAGCAAGATGTTTTATTGACACTGAAGTTCAATAAAATTTATTGACATTGCAGTCTAATGTTCCCAGATCCCGTTCAGCTCACGGTGGACTGAGCAGGCTCCTTTCGCCTTTGATTCGGGTCAAGGAACAACTCAGGAGTCTGCTGTCAAGCTGTCACACCTCCCCTGAGTGTCTGATCCTGCATCCCAAGATGATGGAGCAGGACTGGGTGGACCATTGCCACTAAGAGCTCGCAGAGTGACCACAGCGTGAGACAAACCACTCCAGGCAACAATTCCAACAAGGCAGCCACAGGGACCATCTTGGAAAGGCTGCCCATGAAGAGCACCACTCTTCTCTCACAGAGTATCCTTAGGGCTGGGTAGCACCACTGGGAAAAGGGGTAGCACCATGTCCTCTGCAGTCTCTCTGCCATTTGAACCACTTAGCTGATGACAGTGGCCTGAGCAGGGAGCACTGTGTTTGGTGCTGAACAGACAGAGAGAGACAAGGGAGAGACAGCCCCGTTGTGAAGGGTTAAGTGGAGTGAGCAGGACAAGGACTACTTACCCTGTTTTATCTTTGGGGCAAGGCAAAGGGTAGTCAGGTGCCTAATCTGCTGCAGTCCCTTTTACAAACCTGCACCTTTTCACTGAGCTGCCTTTGAAAATCCAGCATGGAGCGGAAAAGCAACCTGTACAACATCAGGTGGTCAACCAGCAGCCAAGCCAGGACCAGGGATCTCACCTCCCTGCTCCTGGACCAGGCCTTGTGTGTCAAGGTTGCCCTTCCTTCCCATCCTTTCCTGTCTCATGGGAATGAATGCGCTTACAGAGCCAAAAAGAGGGGGGGAAAAAAAAAAAAAGGAATCCCTTTCCCCCACCCCTCCTTGCTACTTACAATTCGGGGCCTGAATGGTGGCTCCATCTGGCGCTGGTTCAGCAGGTCCCAGTCCAGGTCCTTGAAGTAGGGGTGCCGCAGGATCGCGCTCTCTCCGCCCAGCCCGGGGCTGCCCAGGCGCATGGTGGGGTTCTTGGTCATGAACTGCAAAACAAAAAGGGTTGTTTGTTTCCTCCCATCCGGCACGGCCACGGGAGAGGGACCTATTAGCAGCTGCACAAAAGCTTGTCCTCAGCTTTCCTGTTGAACCCAGTTGCTGGCCAGACTTCTCAGCTGTCGCTGTGCTGGAACCACATGCAAGGAACTTGACTCAGTCTCCAGGGGAAGAAGTCAGGGTGTATTTCTCCTTGGCCCTTTTTCTTTTAGTGAAATCCTTGATTAACACAATAAGAAAAGAAAGTCGAATTGCATCATTAGCAACATCTACAAGTGTTGCCCAGTGGGTTTGGTCGTTATTTGTTTCTGTATTAATTTCTCAGGACTACGAGCTCGCTCTCAAAGGCTGCTCATCAGCCAGCCAGGCTTTGGCCTGGAATCAGTCCTGAGTTGTGCCTTTTTCCTAAATCTCAGCCTGCTGAAGCACTGCCAGATGCCTATGCTTTCCTTCCTGTCACCTCGGGAAACAGGAAAATGGGCAAGGCGCTGGCTTTTAGAGCTCCCCCAACGCTGAGAAGATGAGAGCAGGCAGATGACCATCTCCTCTCTCACTGCTAAAACACTAACAGAGGATTTCATTTTGTAACAGTTTTATTCTGCTACCAGTGAAAAGAAATCTCAAACCTCAGCCAAAGTGCCCTGACTTGCCAGGGAGCAATGAGGAAAGCTGTACAACCATGCAGACGGTGCAAGAGGGCCCCAGCGGGTGCCCTTCAGGTCCCAGTGAGAATGATGAAGTGTGAGTGCTGTAGATATTTCTTACAGGAGAGGAGGAGAATCCTTTCCCCAGGAAGGAAAAGAGTCTGGCTGGCTTGTTAATTTAGGATTATAGTTCTTAAAAATTCAGTAATAAACAATCTTTCTCCTTCCTTCGAACGTTTCTAATTCACCAGAGAAACCAGGTTATGTTTAAACTGGGAAAATGGCTGCTTTTATTTGCCTATTGAAACAGGAGCATAAAGCAAGCTCCACTCCGGTGGAGGTGTCCAGACGATTTCCTGGAAGATGAAAGAGCATTATGTTTAGCAAATAGCTGAACCAGCCAAACCAGACAATCGGTCACTGTTTCAGGAATGGCCAAGTCTGCTGCATCTCAGCAATGGGGAAATGAAAAGAAGGGGAGGTGCAGGGAGAGACCAGCTTCATTCCGACTGCAGGAGCTTTTCACAAGGTACAAATTCTCCTAGGACAAGTGGATAAAAGGTCTACTCATTCCCTACCTAGAAGGAAGACAGGAAGGAGAAAAACAACAGCCTGATTTACAGAACTCTCCCCAACACCCCGTTCTGAGGGAGCTTCAGAGCCAAAGCAGATGGGGCATCTGCAGCTGAGACTCTGCAGGACCCCAAACTCTGCTGGCATCAGCACAAACCCCACAGATCCAGCCTGACCCCCTGAGCCCTTCAAGGACATGTGCTGCCACAGGATTCCCTACAGCAGAACCTTTTTCCAGTATTCCACCCAAAACATCAGTAGGAAGAGCTGCAGAGTGCACCCAGATTTATAAGAGGAGTCACCAGGACTGCATGAGGAGCAAAGCCCCCATGGCTTTCCACAGCTGGGCTCTTCCCATGCTTCCCTGAACTGTTCAGCCCTCAGTGATGCAGCATTTCCAGGGTCAGGCCCAAGGACAAGCAGAAATTCTGTGTCTCCCCAGCCATTTCAGCCTGTTCTTCTCCTTTCTACCAGCAGAACCCAACACAATTTGTTTCCCAACAATGGGAAACAAAGCCCAAGAATGGGGCTCCCAAGAGACTGTCCCAAAATTTCTGTGGGATACTGATTCCCAGACACAGCTTGGTTTCCAAACAAGAAACAGGTCAAGCCAAAATCTCTCAGAGACCTGGTTCAGACAAGCCTTTGCAAGCCTTGAACTAGACTTCTTTGGTTTGCAAAACAGGCCAGAAACCTCCTGGCAGCCCTGTCTTTCTCTAAAAATTCCCTGCCCATCTCCTCTGTCCCCACAGATGGATATCTGCACCTCACCAAGTCTTATTTGCATTGCTGGAACACCTAAAAAGTGCAAACAAGATCAGAGCTCGCTGGTGCTGGGAGTGGTACAGACCAAAACAGTCCAAAAAGACAAGAAAAAAATGGAGAAAAGAGCTGGGAATAAGTCAAATGTCTCCTGGCTCCTGCCCTACTGCCGCCTCCATTACACCAGGAACCTTCTGCTAAACGTGGAGAGGGAAAAAAATAATCATGAAAGCAAATAATCTCTGAAAACGACTGGCAATACACTTTGCTTGGGTTCCCATTCGTGTCCAACCATATAAGACCAAAACCTGAACCTGACTGCCCATTCCCAGACCAGTTCAGGGACTTGGGATATAAAAGAGTGTTTACATTTCTATTTGCTTGATTTATTCCACATGATGCCAAAACTGCACCAAGCGAAGGCATCCAATGCAACAACCCAAGAGCCAACATAAATGCATTCCTGGCTGCTTAAAACACCCTCCCTGCTAGGACAATGAGGATTAGGCAAAGGTCACGCCTTGAGGTGGGCTCTTTTGAGCTCCGAAAAAGTAAAACAACATTCAAAACAAAATGATGATTGTCCAAATTCAACTGGCCAGCTCTGGTTTGTGTTCTGGAGCCAGAGATTGGGAAACCTCAGCTGGGAAATTCTAGGCACCATCTTACCCCACAATGGATGCCCAAAGGAGGCAGGAGGAGAGCAAAGAACTCAAATTCACTCACTGCTGCAACATGTTCCCCTGGTTGGTTGCTGAAAGCAATACCAGGTTGCCAAAAAACCCTCTCAGTTATTGCTTACCTCTGACAGGAATGAGCTGACCTATGGAACACCCAGTCAAGCTCCTCCTTCCTCTGCCAGGCAGGAGCTCAGTGCTGCTGCCTCTCTGGCTCTGCAAAAACAGGGCTGTGAAGCACAAGGGTATCAAGGGCTGCAGTGACCCCCCAGCACCATAAACCACTCTGGACAGGCTTCTCTAAGCTTGCTTCCCAGCTACTGGAAGTGCAGGCTCGTAGGACACTGTAAGTGAGTACAAATCAGGCACCCTACAAAGAGTATCAACATAACATGAGGAGGCCCCCCTTTCATGGCAGTCAAACTCACACTAGTTTGCTTCAGCAAAAGGACAGGATATGGAACAGGTATATGGAACAGATATTCCAGAGAAACTGTGGATGCCCCATCCCTGGAAGTGTTCAAGGCCAGGTTGGATGGGACTTGGGGTAACCTGATCTAGTGGAAGGTGTCCCTGCCCATACTGGGGGGTTGGAATGGTCTTTAAGGTCCCTTCCAACCCAAACCATTCTGCGATTCTCTGATACCATTTCAAAGCACAGTTGGTCTCTTATCACTAACCTACAGCCCTGATAAATGCACTGTACACTGTGCTGAGACTCTGCTCCTGCACCTACACAAAGGAACTGGAACTGAAAACGTTGCCTTTGAACAGCATCATGTGGTGTGTGAAACACAGTCCTGCACTCTGGGCACCCCGGCAGGTCACTCACGTGTGGATGGACATACACCTCTGCAGCCAGGGGCTGTGGTGGAAAGCAAGAGATTGGCCACTGCTGCTCCTCCCTCATGCAAAATTTCCTGGTGAATTTTGGAGTGGAAGGTCCATTACAGCCTGGTGAAGGGCTCTCTTCTCTGAGAAGAGACTCCAATCTTGATTTGGCAGTTGGACTGAGAAGCAGGAGTGCAAATGGTGTCTCCAGCAGAGAGAGCACTGATGCTCTGCATTGGAACAGTTCTCCTTTCACCTGCCTTACTGCAAGAGGTATATAAAATGAAAAAGTAAAATTTTGAACAACTAACCCTCTTCAACATCATTTGAATTCACCAGAAATTATTGCACTGATATAGAAATGGAAGAAGTTCCAGTTTGTGTTGTTTAGTACTCAGGAAAAAAACAAAAGGCTCCAATGACCTCTCAAAGGCTCAAAAGCCCACGAATTCTCCCTCTCTGCCTTAGGCAGCACTGACATTTCTCTACTGCAACAGGGCAGCATCTGACAGCCCTGTCTCACATTACCTCTGCTGTCTGATGGCACTTCTAACTCGAGATTTCTGAAGAACTTAATCACGAGCTCAGCCTTCATCTCTGAAACAAGTAGCTGGAGCCCATCCTCCTGTCCTGAACCATGTAAGAGGCACTTGTGCAGCAGGAGGGGTAAACCTGCATGCCCAGACCACACAGACAGGGGAAAGGTTTTCGGAAGTCTAGCTCATCTTCCCCATGATTCCTTCGGCTGCGTTCAGAAACAGCCGGAAAATGTCTTACAAAGTGTTGGCTATTCCTGGCATCCACAGGAAGGCCGGGGTTTGACTGTTGCCTCACAGGCTGGTTAGCCCTAAATGTCCTTCCAAGGACAACCCTGCAGTGTTTTTGCAGGTGATGAGAGATGTTCAGCAGAAAGGTTTTCATGGCAAATGTCACCTCCCAGTGTTTACTCAGTATCTCTAATTTTGCACAGTAACCCTGAATCCAGCATGAATCTCAACCTCTGGTACACGGAGCTCAGTGAAGAAACACAGTGAAAAAATTTTAACAGTAACAACAACAGGGCAAATCAGAGCCGTTCCTGAACAAAAAGAAACACGTAATCGCCCAAATCCAAGATGCCTCCAAGCAAAACCAATAGCAAACCAACTATCAAGCTTAAACCTGAACCAGGCTGTCAAGCCCTTGCTGTGTGATCACATCCAGCCATGGGAAATTACCCCATTCCCAGGGCAAAGAGCCTCTTGGGAGCATCTTCAGATTGGGATCCTTTGGGCTACACCAGTTTGCTGAGCAGAAAACTCAAGCGAGGCTCTCGCTGACCTCAGCTAACCCTCCCAGCAGCCTCGCAGCCAAAACCAGCAGCTGGCATGAGCCAAAACATGACTTCACGAGATCATTTGTAAAACTTTACTGAAAGAAAGTGCAGCAAGCCATAACAAGAAATTAAAAGCTGGGGATTGGTTTACGGAGGGCCCGTGAAGTTACATGGAAAAAATGCAGCCA